AACATCATCATTGAATACACCAAAAATAGGACAACTAATAAACAATATAATTATCAACTAGGACATTGGCTTTGGTGTTTGAGCGCATGAATCAAGTATTTATTAAGTAAAAAAATTGAGAGAACAAAAATTACTTTGGAATTTAACTTGACATGCAATAATATTGAACTAATAATAAACAGAAAATGTAACATGGCACGTACATTAAATAGAGAAAAAGTAACCAAATATTGAACAAATAGTAAAAAAAATTGTCTTTGGATAACTAGCCAAATCAAACGTTCCCAACTTTTTTAATGTTGAATTTGATCAACCCTTAAAAGGAAAAGCATTGGCATCAAAACAATTTAAGTTAAACCATTTATCATTATGCACATTGGGATGTTATTGGATGAGTGGCGGGTAGGTTGGACAAGTACATAATTAAGCAACACCAAGTAGATGATTGGTAAAATAAATTATGTTAAAAAAATAGAAGACAATACGAGAATCAAGATATTTATTCAATTGATTTAACTCATCCAACAACAAGAAAATAAAAAACAAACAAAAATTATCATTTAGATTAGACCGACAAACAAAGAGATAATAAGTGTTTAACTAGAATATTTATATTTCAGCCCCAGACTTCTTTCAAACAATTCCTACCAAGGTATCAACTATGTGGAATAAGCCAAATCTTGAAGTTCTAGAGAAACTGACAATATATAACATGAAAAAAAAGGCATTACCTCCAACCTGGCTAGGGGTGTTCATCCTACCCTATGGTTTCATCTTTCTATTCAATAATTTGCAAAAAAAATTTTCTTGGCCTACTTTACCCGATCAATGAACTATTCCTACCCGAATTCCGTTCAAAACAATTAGGTAGGAAGTCGAATGAACATGTATTTTTTAATTATTAATTTTTGAATTATTTTAACAATTTAATTTAATAATTTGCATCAATTAACTAACATAATAAAGAAAATATAATAAATTTGATAATACATAAACAATTACAATAAAACACAACAAAAAAGTCATAAACATCAATACATCATATATAAGAAACCCTTAAACATCAATAAAGTATTAGGGTTTTTTAATTATTGTACTTTAATTTTTAGGGCATATATATATATATATATATGCGGGTAAGGTAGACTAGAATACAAAAATTTTGTAAGTATTCCGCATTCTTACCCGATTTTTTGTAAAATACCGAAAAATCTTCCGTTGACCTTCCCAATTCTTTCTTTAGTGACTTTCTCATACCAATCTCTCTCGCACATAATCTATTCCTTTGAATGAGCAAGATTCCTTGGAGGATCAAAATCAATAACATTGACGTGCAATCAAATGGGATTGTATTATAAGCAAAACAAAGAGATCAAATTATATTTCAGGTCTAGATATACTAAGCAAAAAATCGCTGGGATCTTTACCTTAAAGTAGCTTGAAGTGCACCAAAAAAAAAATTTACTCTCCACCCAAATGCTTTTACCCCCTAGAACTGTTTTTCTATATGTTGAACACATTCAACTGGTTGAATTTTCTGAATGGACAATGGAGGAACTATTTTAATATAGATGTTGAATTTAATGAAATCAAAGACCATTGCAGAGGCCTTGAAGACACAACAAAAATCTGCATCATCGATGAGGACAACTATAAAACTATCAATTACATAAAACATTACTTTGTAATTAAACTTGTGTCTTTTGTTGTCTACCTTGCTCTTACTTCAGTCATCCAACAGCCAAGGCTATGACATCCAAAAAATTTAAAATTTTTGGCAATGATTCCTCTAATAGCAGAACCCCAAAAACATTTAAACTTGCATACACATTTTTTTAGTTTCATAACCACACCCTAAAAGAGAGAAAATTAATACAATGGTAAGAGGTGAAAAAGGAAGACACTTTTAAGAAACAAAAGCAAACACTAAGACACGAGTTTAATATCATCATCGACCACCAGCCAAAAGTGGCAATAAGATTCAATGAGCATGTTCAGCTACTAAAAATGAAAACGGCATGAGTTTCACCCACATTACCTCACCATGTTCAGCTACTAAAATTCTGTTGAGTTTCACACGCTGCAAAATTTTCCTGAAATCGTATTCGCCAGAATAGTAGAAACATCTTTTTAGGAACTGTTCCATACTGGATCAGTTTTGTTCATTAAGTTTAATAAGCACACAAACAGAATTTTAATGCCATGGAGAGAAGTTAAATTGAGAGAAAAGACAATCCACAATTGTGGAATTATCTTTATTAATCTCAAATTCAAAACTAGATGTTGACTTGGCCCACACTGAGTCAATAACAATACACGATACCAAAATAACACGAGTTTAGCATGAATTGGTTTTGACTCGGTCCAACTCGAATTCATATCGTTTGAATCGACCAATTTACATCTGAGTCAAACTGATACACACAGAACTGTTCCCCACCTCTCATACAATAAAGAAAATGCCAAAAAAAAAAAAGCAAAAGAGATGACATTGAAAAACCACAATTTGCAAAAAAAAACAAATTTTTCTTCAGTCGCTGGTCTCTTTCTCTCTAAGAAACCGAAGCCCAAACAAGAACAAGAAGTGATAATGCACAAAACGTGTTTATGCATCACCAGTCAAGTAATAAATATAGTAATAAATGATGAGAGTTAACATAAGCAAAATACAATTTAAGTAGTTCGATCAAGATAACCTACTCCACTGTAAAGAGTTAGGATGACCTAAGTATTTTATTGCTCAAGGGGTGTAAATTGCTCAGATATGAGTGAGATATCTAAGATGTCTCCTTGTGTAGGTCGGACTTACAATTTATAGGCGCCTCATAACAGATTAGGTGTCTTTCTCGTATCAGGTGAGGTAGTTCAATGGAGGTGGCACTCTTCTTGTAATCAGGCAAGACAATTTCGTAAAGGTGTTAACATACACGTCCCAAGGAGATCAACTCGTATATTAGTTGTGGACTGAATCTCTCATCATGATGTGGCTAACCTAACTCCCTCAAGATGGCATAGCTAACCAATCCTAGCTTTCTCCTTCCTTTGGTGGGTCTGGCCTACATTCTTAAAATGGTTCTCTGCGTTGGGTCTGGTTTATAATCCTGGGCCTAGTTTGGGCCAAGCCCATCATTTCCCCTATGCCCCAAGCCCAGTGGGATTTAGGGAAGAGAGCATCAATAAAAAATCTTGTCCTTGTCCTCTTTTAGCAGCTTAACTCTAACGAGACTGAGCTTTTGGCAACTCGCGAGAGAGCCATTAAGTTGGAGATTGGGGCTGCTTACGTGAGAACAGAGGCAGAATTATGCCGAATTTTTGACAACTCACGAGAAAGCTGTTAAGATGGAGACTAAGGTTATGTGAGAGCAGGGACAGAGTTAGGCTGACCTTTCGGTGACTAGCAAAAAAGCTATTAAGCTGGAGACTAAAGTTGCTTGCATGAAAATAGAGACAGAGTTAGGCCGAACTTTCGGTAACTCACAAGAGAACCACTAAGGTAGAGACCGAAGCTACTTGCATGAGAACAGAGATAGAGTTAGGTGAAGCTCCTAGCAACTCACAAAAAAGTCACTAAACTGGGAATTGAGTTTTCTTGCGTAAGAGTAGAGACAGAGTTAGGCTGAGTTTTTGGCAACTCAATAGACTATCTCCTAAGAAATAGAGAGGAGGAAGGAGATGACAACAAAGGTAACCAAAGTACCGACAAGATAGAGCCAACAAAGCATGGGCGTCCAACGTGGGAGGCGAGGGTGCCTAATGCACCAAGAAGGGCGACACTGGCTACTACTGGATGAGCTGGACACGCAATGCACACAGCGCACCAAGGCAAGCAAGGGTGCTCAGTGTTGCGGGCACGAGCATCGTGGGCAAGGGCACCTGGATGGGTGTTGGCACAGGGCGTTGGTGAGATATTAGAAAAACATAAAGAAGTGGCAAAACTTTGAACTGCCATAGCTTTGTGCTTAATTGTTCGTTTGAGGTGATTTTTTTTTTTAAATCTGAATATTTTTTTCGAGATTTACTAGAATCAAACAACCTACGGCGGTTAGGGCACCGAATTTCCCTAATAAACGCTTGTTTTCCCCTGAATTTTAATTTTAACCACAAATTAATAAAGAAGTAGAATTTTCACGTGCCATATTCTATTTGTGGAAAAGGACAACTTTCATTCTAAATGGATGAAATCGTAAATCTAAAGGTGAGTACTATTTTCACTACCATTGAATGTTAAATTTGCTAAGATTGTTTGTACTTTTCGTATATTCTTTCTAAATGAGGACTCAACTCGCCTAGATTTGGCGACATCCTCAGCGTTCACATATTTCTAAGTTTTTGATAATAATTCTGACATGTTCTTTGGCAAGTGCTTCAAAACTGAAAACATAAAATTGAATGAATACAAGCCTTTTGTGAAAGCCACAATGACAACTTTGTCATCTAGCTCTTTAATCTGGAGGACCATCTCGTTAAAATAAGGTAACTCCTTAGACTTTCAAACCGATCCTACTTGATACTGAGCAAATGGATGGCAGGTCTCTGATGTTGACGTCCTCCAATGAAGTGTGAGACGAAGGAGTTACTTAGTTCAGTAAAGAGTCAATGAAAGTCGAGGTAAACTTGGCGAACTACTAGCGAGCAGGTTCTTTGAGGTTGGTAAGGAAAACCCTACATATGATCTCGTCTAGTATATTGTGCAGCTATATCAAGGATTTCTAGGTGTCAAGGTGGTCTAGTGGATCTTTAGAGCCATCAAAAACTTTCACAATCGTCATCTTGAATTTTGAGAGGACAGGGCAGTTGGCTACATCAACAAAAAAAGGCGTGTCAATACGCCTCACTAGGTACTTGACCATTTCAGGTCCTCGTGCCTTTATGATATTGAAGACTTTATCAAGTTGATTCTGCACTTCTTTGATTTTTTCATCCCAATGGTTGACAACACCTTTCAAATGATCATTGTAGTGGCTCTCGTAGTCCACATACTAGTTTTCCCCCTCATCTTCTTAGAAATGAGGGTCAGCAATGTGGAAGGACAAAGCCAACTCGCGAAGAATGGAGCTAGGGTGTCTGGGTGCTAAAAAAGGATGTCCTGGCACTGTAAGGGGAACCCTGGCACTAGACGCCCTACTTAGGGTGCCTTTGCACCCTGGGCGGATTGTCTGGGGTGCTTTCTCTTTTAGGGGCTGAGCCGCTGAGACACAACTCGTTAAGGGTATCTAGGGAGCATCAACGGGAGGATTTATTGGTTTTAGTTCATCAATAATTGCATTATCTCCAATAGTTATTGTCCAACTACGAAATTTGCCGCAGCGACAGGGTTTGCTGGCAGAGGCAAGACCTCGCGACCTAGTGGATCATTGTCTTTTGTTTGTTGATTCATAGACCTAGTTGTAATTGCCATAAAATAGAAAGAAAGTAATAAGAAATAGACAATAAAAAACTTAGTGGTTTCTTACAGTAATAAATGCAATAATAAATTGTGAGAGTCAACAAAAGCAAAACACAATTTAAGTGGTTCGATCAAAATAACCTACTCCACTGTGAAGGGCTAGGATGACCTGAGGATTTTATTGCTCAAGGGATGTAGAGTACTCAGATGTGAGGGAGATGTCAAAGATGCCCACTTGTTATAAGCGTCTCCTCATAGATTGAGACACCTTTCTCATATCAGGTGAGGTAGTTCGGTGAAGGTGGCGCCCTTTATAATATCCTGACCCATCCTTGAGTGTCTAGTAGTTATAACATAGAGTTTTATATTGTGAATATTCTTAAACTTGAACTATTATATTGAAAGGTCTCTTCAATATAAAAGTATAAATAAATACATAAATAATAAAGAGAGTTTTTGAAGGATCTAGAAGAATCTGGAAAGTTCTAGAAATCTAAGAAGTCTAGAATATTATAGAAGGTTCTAGGAAATACTAGAAGGTTCTACAGGTATTTAGAATGTTCCGCAAGGACGTAGAAGGTTGGAAAAGGCTTTAGAATATCATAGATGAATCTAGATACTTGTGAAATTGTCATGTTCAAAATAAGCTTGAAACCTAGAAGGATCTAGGAGAGGGAAGATGGTAGAATATTCTAGGGAATCTCCCCTAAAAATGTCACATGTCAATATTCTCTAAAATAATACTAAGATACCTTTAAATAGGGCATTTAGAGATTGGATTAAGGATACAAGTGTACAAGTAGTCTTCCACTTTCAAGAAAGAATAGAGAGAAGAAGGAAGAAAGAACACCACATCAAAAGAGAAAGAAAATCGTGAGAGAAAGAGGAAAGGCATCGATAATATCTCACTCTACTTCAGGTAACAAACAACACTCAAGAAACATATCATTTGGACTTAAGGTGAGTAGTTTGGCATGCTACGTATCCTCGAAAATTTCCCGTATCCCTAAACATTTTAAAAACAACACATTATGTTTGTTCATTACTACCTTTACAAAAAGTTTTACTAAGTGTCTAAATATTTGTGGTATACGATTCTCCTCACCTTGATGAATTCTTTTGTGAAGTATTGACTCAATCACTTATTTATATGGAGAGACTTAGTGATGATGAATGGAACCAAGACTAAACGTCCAGGAAAATTATTCTTATGTGCGGATGACCCTGGCCTGGCCATTAGGGAACAGACCCGAGAGAGGCTAAGATGACCCTAGTTCTATCTTACTTGTAATAGTCATATTGTCAACGTAAAATAAGAGAACCATAAAGTCAGAAACAGTTCATTGCAGAAAGAGAGTAGAATCATGATCACTGGCATAAAAACCCAAATCATAGGTAACTAAAGATATCTTGACAAATTGTGCCTGGGAGCCTGCTTAAGGCCATATAAAGCTTACATACTTGACCAAGACTACTAGCCAACCCAGGAGGAGTCATAAACACCTTTTCAAATAAATCGCTATGGAGAAAGGCATTTTTCACATACATCTGAAACAAACTCCATTGACAAATGACAACCACTTCAATCACGGTGCGAATAGTTGTCATCTTGACAACTGGAGCAAAAGTCTCATCATAGTCCAAATCATACTCCTGAGGAAAACCCTTTGCTATAAGACGAGCCTTATACCTCTCCGCCGAGCCATCAAATTTAGTTTTGATTTTATAGACCCATTTATAACTGATGGTGCATTTGTCTGGGGCAAGGACAACAATTCCCATGCTCGGGTTTATGTAGAACAGATAGTTTCACATTCATAGTTTGTTGTCAAAGAGGATCAACTACAGTGTTCTTACAGGAAATAGGTTGAGAAAGGGAGTGAATAGAAGTGAGAACTGAGAACTGAGCAAAAATTAGAAAAATAAGAAGATTTAAAGAAACTAAATCTATCTAGACACTTTCAAAAGCATTGAGGATATCGAAGAGGAGGATTCACAATTTGAGAACCTGGTTGAGTGACAAAAGGTGAAGAGGGAGGTACTACGTCTATAGAATTGGCAATAGAAGTCCTGTGAACATAAGTATGAACAATAGGAAGACGAGTAACAGTTAAATCAAAAGAAGAAGAAGATGATGGGAAGTCAATATAGTAATATCATTAACATATATGTCAGTAGGAACATCAGCACGAAAGGGATCAATATAAATGAGATCAGATTTATGTAGAGAGAAGGAAGTAGATGGAATCAAAAAGAAAGGAATATGTTCCATAGAAATAGTATAACGAGAGATATATAGTGAACGTGTAATAGGATCATTGCAACGATACCCCTTTTTACTCTCCTCGTAACCAAGAAAGATACATAAAGCCGAGTGAGCAGAAAACTTAGTATGAAGAACACTAGGAAATAAGACAAAACAAGTACAATGAAACACATGCAAAGAGAAATAATTGGGTGGCTTACCACACAATTTTTCAAATTGAGATATATTAGAAGTGAGAATGGTAGGAATATAATTGATTCAGTGAACAATTGTGAGAATTGTTTTCCCCCCCAAAAGGGGTTGGGGACATTTGCTAACAACTGGAGAGAACGAGTTGTCTCCATAATATGCCGGTGTTTGCGTTCAGCAACACCATTCTGTTCGGGGGTGTCAATACAAGATGATTGATAAATAGTACCATGAGATTGCAACAAATCATGAAAAGGAGTAAAGGAGTATTCACCTCCATGATCACATTGGAAGCATTTAATAACATAGGAATATGAGTGCTTACCATAGCACGAAAACGAAAAGCAGTGAATATAGAAAAGAATTCAGACCGACGTTTCATCCAATATACCCAATAGTACCTAATATGATCTTTAATGAAAGACACATAATATCTGGACTGTCCTTGTGTAGGAATAATAACTGGTCCTCATATATCATAATAAGCAAGATCAAATAGTACAAGAGAGCAAGAAAAACTCTTATTGAAAGGTAATACAATAAACTTGGCTAACTTGTATCCACTACAGTTTAAAATGTTATGATACTCTAAACTCCCTAAATTACTAATAGAAGCCAAAAAGTTTAAACGTGAATGTGAAACATGACCAAGATGGGAATGCTACAAATAAAAAGTAGGCGACTGTGGACCCAAACGGAAAGAAGATAGATCGACAGTCGAAGCAGCAACATCTAGAACATGTAGCTCCTCCAACACATGTAGTCCTTCCTTTCTACGGTTTGATCCAATCAACTTCTTGGACCGTGGATCCTGAACTATTGGAGAATGTAATAGACATCAGGAAGAAGAGTAGGTTGAGAATAAATAATAGACCCAATACCAGCCAAAGACATTTGAGATCCATTGGTTGCAAGCATAGATATAGAAGGAAGAGAGATAATAGAAGCAAATAAAGATGAATTACTATCCATGTGATGTGTACCACCTAAAATCTAATAGTATTGTTTTTCAGTCTTCTTGTACCGACACGCCTACTCAGAATGGAGTGACAGAACGGAAACATTGTCACATTATTGAGACTGCTCATTTTCTGTTGTTATCATCTAGTGTCCCTAGCTCCTTTTTAGGAGAAGCAATTCTTGCAGCAGTTCATCTGATTCATTGCATTCCTACAATCCTCAATTCTAGTGTCTAATCTTTTGAAAAACTATGTGGTAAGACACCTGACTATTTCTCTTTACGTGTGTTTGGATGTACATATTTTATTCTGCTACCTACTGTTAATCGTACAAAACTCTCGGCTTGTTCAGTCTTATGTGTTTTTCTTGGCTACGGTGAGCATGGTTCAAAGTCGCGGTATCAGTCATCAGCTCGGAAGGTACTGATACACATCGGTCGCGGTGTCGCAGCGCGATATCGGCCGATATGCTCAAAACGCAAGATAGAAGCTCCAAAAAAATTATAAAAAATTCTAAAAATATAAACATCATCATTCATGCATCATATGTACACAATACATCTAAAAACACATTAAACATAATTAAAATGAAACATAAAATCACTACCGAAAATAATTATTATTATCAATGTTTAATGTAAGCATTTAGGAACATACTGAGCCATAATCATTGCCACATTAATGTATTATTATTATAAAATATTAATGTATATAATTTTTACATTGACACTTTGTTTACCACAAAAAAAAACAGCCTGAAAAAAAAAAAAAAAAAAAAAAAAAGGCAGCAACCAGGAAATAAATAGCCTGAAAAAAAAAAAAACAACAGCACCCAGAAAATACAGAAAAAAAAACTGCCTATTGAATAAAGGACATAGGAGTTGAACTTACGACTTTCAGTTTGGCAACAGGCACCTCTACCAACTGAGCTATTGCTTTTATATGACTTGAAAGACATAAATATATTTAAAGACTAAATAAAAAGCCAGATAGAACAGAAAAAAACCATAGCCTGTTGAGGAATATAAGAATCGAACTTAAGACTTCTCGGTTGGTAACCTGGATCTCTACCACTTGATCTATTGCTTTTATATGATTTTAAATGCAAAAATAAATATTTAAAGACTCAATAAAAAAATAAAAAAAAGGATTACTTTAAGTCAGATTTTTCTTTTTCCCTACCTACCTGCACAGTCGTCTCAGATGCCGAGAGTCACAACGAGAGAGAAAGGCAAACAGGGAGAAATAGAACCACTCCGATCGTCACAGCACCGAAGAAGATCAACAAAAGAGAAAGAAAAAGGAAAAGAAAACAGAAGATGCAGATTGTAGACTCTATTTCGTTCGATCAAGAGGTATGTGGTAAATCCTTAGTCCTCTTGGTTTTT